TGCCAACCTTAGTACATTCACCAGTCTGTGGAGGCAGAGGGGCTCAGGGAATAGTGCTTAGCAGACTAGGGTACAGGACACCCCCAGGGAGAATCCGCCACCCACTCTCTCATACTTGGGAAGATTCTCATCTGTGAACAGGTCAACCGATCCCATCCAGGACTTGAGCTTTGCCGGCACCTTCTGATAGGCCAAGAGGAAGAGCTCCAGGTGCTTAGGGGAGCTGAGGACTACGTTCAAGTCAGGCTTGAGGACCTTTGGCAGGATCTCCTCAAACATGGCTTCTGGGACCTAGCAATGGGGAGACAAGACTGTGGGAAGGTGGTTCCTTCCCAATATCCTTAGTCCCTATCTCTATGGGGTGAGCCCTATGCACCCTATACTACCTGCCAGGGTTTAGGTACAGTGCCAGTAAGAGGTAGAACTGTTACAGTCCACCTTGCTAGGCAACAGAATCATCAACAGGCCTTTACTCAACAACCCTGAGCTTCAGAGAAGCTGGTTTTTGTTTGTTTTGAGACAGGGTCTCGCTATGTAGTGATCCTCTTGCCTCAGCCTCCCAGTGCTAGGAAAGCTGGTTTTTAACAATTATCTCATTAAGGCTGATCTTCCTGGGGCTGCCTTTTTAATTATTATTTTTTGGTTTCTTACAGGACAAGCCCATTTCTTTTCTCAAGATAGAGTCTCACGCTATAATTCAGGCTGGCATTGAACTATCTAGCCCAGGCTGGCCTTGAACTCTTGGCAATCTTCCTGCTTTGGCCTCTGAAGTGCTGGAGTTATAGGTGTGTGCCACCACTCCTGGTGACAAGCCCATTTCTTATACAAGGACTCCTAAGTGGAATTCTAGGATTTTAATTCAAGTCCTTTTAGCTCTGAGGCCAAGACTAAAAGACTGTGCACATGCCAACCCCTTTCCTTCAGTGGCAAATAGTTTTAGGCATAAGCCTACCTTGTTTCCCAGGTAGAGCCATGGAGGCCCACAAAGGCATGTTTAATAAAAATGGCAGGCATGTTTAATACACTTGCCATGTGCCAGGCACTGTCCTAGACCTGTACTCCCCAACACGGAAGACATCAGCCACATAGGGTTGCTGAGCACTTGAAATGTGTCTAACCTGAATGAAGGTGTGTTTTAAGAACAAAATATACACTAGACTTCAGATTTTTTTTTTTTTTTTTTGAGACAGTGTCTCGCTATGTAGCCTAGGCTGGCCTCAAACTCACGGTGATTCTCCTGCCTCAGCCTCCAGAGTCCTGGGATTACAGGTGTGCACCACCATACCTGGCAGATGTCAGATTTAATGACGAAAGGAATGCAAACTATCATAACTCTTTATACTAATTCCACGTTTAAGACAGTATTTTAGACACACTACATTAAAATGTTACCAAACTACACCTGTTTTTTTTTTCTTTATTTTTTTAAACTTTTCAATGCAGTTACTGAAACATTTCTAGTTGTAAACCTTTATGATTCTATGGAACGGTGCTTCAGTGCAGCAAGTCAGCCCGTACCTCAGAAAGGATGTCCACCAGGGCCTTCAGGGGCTGCCCCTGTAAGTGGTTGTAGTGGTGGCTCAGGACTTGCAGCAGCTTCACCGACTTCGTCAGGGCCTTCTGGTCCTGGTACCCACAGAGAGCAGCAGGTATGAGCAGAGCATGTTGCTGCACCCCCACCTCTAAGCCCTTGCACCCCCAAAGCCCTTACCTTCACTAGTCGGCCTGATTGAAACAGGGCCAGCACCCCGAACAGGTTTGCAAAGAGAACAGGTCTTATCATTGCCTAGAAAAAGATTCCAGGCACAGTAAGAAAGGCCCAAGCACTGCCCACCCTCCATCTGCAGAGCTGATGTCCCTGGGGCCACGCTCACCTTCTTTGTAGTATTCAGCTCATACTTTTCTTGCACCTGCTCCAGGATGCTGCACAAGGGGATGTCTTCAAAAGACTGTAACAGCTGCCAGGAGCAGTGGCAAGAGAAAGAGAGGGGTTCAGGGTAGCGGCCCAGCCACATGCTATCAGAACTTAACCGCCCCCTCTTTTTCCTGGTATTGCAGATTGACCCCAGGGAGTGTTGAGCTATATCCCTAGCCTTTGTTACCTTTACTCTAAGACAAGATTTGCTAAATTGCTCAGCTTAGGGTCATACTTGCAATCGTCTTAACCTCCAGAGTAGCTGGGATTACAGGTGTGCACCACCATGCCTGGCTTTAACCACCTAGGAAGCCCTGAGTTCCTCCTCCCATCCAAAGGATGCCCTGTGAAGTCGCTCACACCCCTGTGAGCAGCACTGAGGATGGGATACTACCGCTCAAATGGAATGGAATCTGGTTTCCCTGCCCCATCCCTACCAAAGCTTTAGAAGTTATCTCCTACGCCCACAAGAGTGTACGCTTGTGATCCCAGGCAATCTACCCTATCTACACAGCCTGAACTACCTCTAGGACAGAGATGACCAACCTTTTAGAGACTGTGTGCCCAAACTGCAACCCCAAACCCACTTATTTATTGGAAAGTGCCAAACTGTGCTACCGTAAACTGCACTGTTATCCAAGGCCAGCTGGGGCTTTGCTAGGGAGATTTGGCTAGCTTGGCAACAGAGAGGGCTTTCTTTGGGAGCCCGCTGCAGCACGAGCGCCGTGGGTTCGCCATCACTGCTCTAGAGTGGTATCGAAAAGAACATTTGCTCAACTTCCCATTCCACTTGCCTGGACTTCTCTGTAGACAGGCCTTGCCCACGCGCTTTCCTCACACTACTGCCAGGGGAGGGTGCCTGCCATCAGCTCCGTCTTCCCCCTCAGGCCGCCCTTCCCCTAACGCTGACTCCCCCACCCCCACCCTTGTGCCCAGCACGGCTGGGGCCCTGCCAGCGGGAAAGTCTCACCTGTGCCAGAGCCATACTGTAGCAGGGCCGCGCGGCTTCTCGCCCCACTCCCAGCCCAGTGATGAGACGCTTCAGGGCATACTTCATCTCGGATCCCTGAGGAGTCAAGAGAACGCCACGTGTTAGAGCGTAACAAAAGGGCCCGCCCTCACCCTCCCTGGCGTCCGGAGTCACGACAGTGCGCCCCGTTCCAAGTCCCAGGGCCGGCCGCCACTTTTCGGTCGGGCTCCTGGCGGCGCCCAGGCCCGGGCCCCATCACCGTGCCTCCGGCCTTGCTCTCAGGTACGCCAACAGCTTCTCCGTGGCCTCCAGCCGCGTCTGCTGGTGCGGCTTCGCAATGTCCCAGAAGAAGTCCAAGAACTCGCGGCTGTGCTCCAGCAGGCCATGGCGATCGGCAGACGTCGCCCCTCCGGGAGGTGCAGGCTCATCAACTACAGAACTCCGCATCTCCGCCATGCTGCGCGAAACACGTGGGCTCGGAAGACAGCCACTTCCGGGTCAGGCCAAGGCGCATGCGCACTGGGTCGCGTAGTCGGGGGCGGGACCGGGCTCTGCCGGGGGCGGGACCGGGCTCTGCCGGGGGGCGGAGTCATTGAGAGACCCGCCCTTCCGCCTTTAATAGGCAGAAAAAACCTGGTTGCCGCTTCCAACAGAGTCCGCAGACCTTTAGAACACGTCTTCGTACAGGTGGCGTTCCCGCCTTGGAAAGCAAATTCACTTGATCTACCTTACGGCAGGGGCATTCAAATAAGGCGTTCAAGAATTACTTATTCAGCATTTTAAAAAATTCAGCAATTATTAAGCCCTTACTGTGTGCTTGGGACTGTGCTGAGCCAGGCAGCGGGAACAAAGCCATTACTCATACGGACTCCCGTTAGACGGTTGCTAAACAAGTAGACAAACACATTTACAAAATAATACTTATGAATAAATAAAGAATGCAGGGGTCAAAAGGAACTTTTAAATTTTGGAAAA